TTGCAGATGACATTTTGTTGTGTTTCTCAACCATTCAATTCTGCATCTTTTTTCTTAAATACTGGTCCTAACTTTTAAGGCTTCTCTCCTTCTGACCTCTTCCTCCCTCATGCGGCTCTTAGTGTCTCTTGAACCAAAATGCCGGTTGTTCCTCAAACCTGCTATAAAACCGTTAATGGAATGATAACCCATCAACGCTGCGACCCCTGAACTCCTGTGACGTCTTTATGAAGCAGCTCAAAATGTTTGTGTTTGTGTTTGATACCTGTTGTGCTGTCATGCCTCTCAAACGTCTCCATAGCTCCCCCTCACCTCCTCCCTGTTGTCTTTATGATGTCTCTCGCAGGTATGGAGGTGCAGCGTCCCAAACGTCAAGTGTCCAGTGAAGTGGAGGGTGAGGGGTTGTCGAGTAGCGCTGGCACAGCCGACAGCCCAGATCTTTACGTGAAGAGTGCAGCCTCTGACGACCCCTCCAATGACGCTGCCACCCCTGACCTCAGTCCCCCTTCCTCCTCACCTCCTCACACTCCACCTCCCCCTGCTCGGCCGACCCAGCGCAGCAAGAGTGCACGCTTCCACCGGCAGAGCGCTGTGGACCATGGAGACAAGGCGAAGGAGGGAGCAGAGAGGAGTGAGAAGGGTGGAGGAAAGACAGAGATCCAGGTGTTGATGGAGGGAGGTAACGCAGGAGGTGAAGGCAGTGGAGGAGGAGGAGGAGGAGGGAAGGGGGAGTACACGCGGGCCAACAGCTGGAGTGAGGACAAGAGGAGAGGGATGCTGTCAAAAGAAAGAGGTGGGGTCAGCGGACGTGGAGCCAGTCGGACCAACGGACACAAACACAGCTCCTCCAATCACAAGTCACGGGAGCACGGCTCGTCCAATCACAGACAGGCCAGAGGTGACCGGTGGACAGAGTCGTCCTCGTCTGCCTCCTGGACGTCAGGGCACAGGGGCGTGCACAGCAGGGGGGGCCGGCTGCTGGAGCAGGACGAGGAGAAAATTAGTAACTACGAGATGGAGATGAAGCCTTTACAGCCAAGGGACTCCGCTACCCACAAGCCCCATGGGCACGGGGAGGAGAGGCATGGGCACAGTCACGCTCACGGAGACGGGCGCTCACACACTGTGCAGCGACAGAGACACAAGAACCGTGACGGGAGGGAGGGGAGGGAAGGACGAGAGGCGAAGGAGGGCGGGAAAGACTCAGCGCACAAACTGGACAGACCGGGGGAGAAGATGGATTCACGGCCTCTGCGCCGGGACCTCACCCTCTCCCCCCCTCTGAAGTCCTCACCCATCTCACCGGAGCAGCAGGACCAAAGCCTCACCCAGGGCAAAGGCAACTCGGTAAGACTCACACTGCACCAACAACAGACACCGTCACTCACTTGTTTTCTACATTCACGTTGCAGGAAATCCTTAAGAAAAGAGTTTTAAGCCTGTTGCCAGGCCGACCAGCTACAGGATGAATCGAGACCATGAGACATTTGGTTCAGAGCAAAAGAAAATTGGAAAACACACAAAAACAGGCAAAAGTACGAGATTGAAGCGAAGGAACCACACGTCCGAATAACTTCCTGTGCTTCTTGTGTGTTATGAAGGGAAATCGTGTTCAGCTGAACCATCCGATCGTAGCCGAGACGCTTTGTGGCAAACATTTCCGGGATAACGACACCTAAGGATTGTGGGTAGTGTTGTGCTTCTCCATGACATCGTGAATAAGATGTGTTTTTCTTAAAACGCACTTGATTCCATACAAACAAAACCCGGTTCACAATCTCGGAGCTTGTGGTTCGTCTACGTGGAGGGTTACAATATGATAATCCGTCTATTCAGAAAAGAAATGGGGATTTTTTTTAACTTCCGGAACCAAACTTCAACTTCCTACTCCTTCAGAATATACTGTGTACAACGTTTACTAAATCGCACACAAGCAATGAACAGAAAACATGAATGGAAATCCCAGTGAAGCTTCTGCAGCCTGTTTCCCTTCACATGTTGATGGTTAACACTGATTCTAGCGTCTTTGAATTTGATCAGTTTAAACCTCTGCGTGACTGTTTGGCCTACAAGTGTCACTGGATCGCAGCTGTACGGTGCATTTGTCATATCTGTCATGTCGCCGCCACACATTGATTTGACTAAAAGGATTAGTTGCCCACTGTCATGAGGATACATCCCATCCCCAGTGACATAACACAATGTTATCCCACATATTAAGATAATCCTGGTTGGGAGAGGCACAACGTTTAACCTTGTGAAATAAAGAAAGATCTTTTTGTGCTACGGGCGAGCAGGGGAGGATTACACCGTTGTATTATAATGTTTTGGCTACGTCTTGACTCAGGCTGGTGGACGGACACAACCACAGTAATCCTGGATGATAATACAGCTGCAGCATTAGCTAATGAAACCAACAGGAAATTCAGCAGCGAGTGAGAAAACCACACATTGAATATATTAATGCTACAGACGCACATTATAAACACACACACACACA